TGCAGTTATCTTCAAGAATTAATTTGAATGTGTTCCCGATTGAATTTTTAGCTGAAATTTGGTATGAGTAAAATAGACTTGGTGAATAAGATGTTCAAAAAAATTCATCAAAAAATTCCACCGGGAACTGCCCCAAATCGCGACGGCCGGACAGAACCTCCTGTAGAAAGACTTAATTGACCTTTTTATGAAAGTTCGAGGACCTATTTGACTGTTTTCCCTTTATTGTATATTTTATCCAATCTTTGTCCCAATCTCCCCGCCATGCCATCCCCCATCGGAAACTGCCTCCAAAAACTGTTGTACGGAAAGTTGTCCAAAAATTAGTGGATCGATTCTTATATTGTAATTCACTGAAAAAGTTGTCAGAAAAATTTCAAACGATCACAATAACATGTTTTGTGATGGCTATTATATGTGTGGCAGTGAGACTGTGAGAGTGACATCTGATGCAATTGTTAGCGGCATAAAAATATTCAAAGTGACATCTTTCAAATTTATTACTTTATTAGTCACATTTTAGTCTATATGTAAAAAGTAATGTGTTTTTAAATAAGTTCCAATATAGTTATATTTAAGAACCATATTTATATATAAGGAAGAATCCTTGAAGAGTAGTGTTCTATGTTAGAAAGGCAGTTGTAATCAAGTCACCTATTAAGTTCCAATCCTTCTATTATTTCTTCTAGACTTTTTTTAGTCTCAATCTAGACCAACACTAGAATAAATCAGATCAAACTTAAACAAATCAGATCAGACTTGAACAATTATAAAACACATAGAGATCAAACATTTACTGGATCAGACTAGACTGGATCAGGTCATATTAGCCCTGATCAGACCAAACCAAACAAGTAAATTCCAGTCCAAAAAAATATAGTGCATGGATTGAACTCATCACCATCTACAACAGAACTTGTAGGATAATTGATTAAGTAATATTGAAAGAGTCTAACTGCTACAAATATTGTATTTTTAAATCTTCAGAAGATGTCAATCGGGAAAAATATAGAGGCCGTTTGGCAACATCATTTTTCGGCTTATCAGCCAACTTTTTCACCAAACATGTAACTTTTACTTTCGCGCGCTAAATTGTGTAATAAGCAGAAAAAGTAAGGTTGGAGTTACTTTTCTAGCTGTATTGACTGAAGTTACTGTAGATGACCATTTTAACTATTTTTACATACAATTTTTTATTTATTTTATTAATAAAATGTATTTTAAAAATAAGTTTTACTTAAAACAGCAGAAACAGCCAAAACAGCCACTTCAGCCAGAACTTCATAAATTTCAGCAGAATCAGCCAAAACAGCCGATTTTCGTGCTACCAAACGGGCTCATAGTAGTAGCCAGGCAGGTAGTCAGCCTGAACCAATTAGTTCCTCCAAAATATGACAATACCCACTCAATTTCAATATTTTGTTTAATTTAAATGAAAAACAGGTTAAAAATTGAAACTGGCCAAAAAATAGACCACTCGAAGAGTAAAAAAGCGGGTGGTCACACCTAGAGCTTTCTAGGCTTGCGTAAGGTTAGGCAGATTCTTGTGTGAGCAGGGGCGGAGCTAGAGCACTAGGCCGGACTGGGCCAATACAAAGAATATTTTTTGAATTTTTTTACACAGATTTTTTTTCACTAAAAATACAGGCATTTTTAAAATTTGGGCTGGGCCGGGGCCAGGGATGGCCCTCCCCTAGCTCCGCCCATGTGTGTGAGATCTTCGACGTTTTCTTTGCGTGAGGAGTTCAGCAGGTATTTGGATTGCTAAAGGTATGCAACAGGCATCGGCGAGTGTAGAGAGGAACACGGTTGCTTCAGTTGTAGGGGAGGGTGGCGACGGAACAAGAAGGCAGCGCAGGATCGGAGCGGGGCAATCAGCAGCAGCAGCAGTTCAATATCACTTGGAGAAGGACCGATGGCGGATATCAATGAAAAAACGGGAGATTGAGGGAGTGGCTAGTGCGTATGGAAACATGGATATGGAAGATGGGGATGAATTCCTACTAGTAGAGGCTACGACACCTAATAGTGACAAAGTCGGCTGGTCGCTGGTGGGGACAATTTCTTCCCGAAAAATTGGTATGTTTCTCCTTTTTCGTGATACCACGACAAACCTCTGGAAACCAGTCAGGGGTGTCACTATTATTGAGTTAGGGGAATATGGGATAGAAGGTACATGTTACAGTTTTATAATGAATATGATATGTTAAGGGTCTTGGAGGAGGGTGCCGGGATTTTCAAGCAAAACCTTCCCAAGGAGATTTACCGTTAGAGGTACCTTTGAACAGGGCTGAATTCTGGTTACAGATTCATGATGTTTGGGTTGAATATTTTTCCATGAAAAATGTAATACAAATTGGTAACATCGTAGGAAAATTCATTAAAGTGGATGAATATAATTTTTTCGTCAAATGAAATCCATTCTTGAGGATAAGAGTTAGTATCGATCTGACCAGGCCCCTGAAACGGAAGCTATTTTTGCAAATAGTTGAAGTGGAAAATTTTTGTGTCACGTTTAAATATGAGAAACTCCCTAGTTTCGGTTTTGCATGTCGTATTATTGGGCACACAAAAAGGTATTGCCCACGCTACCCCCAATGGGATGGGAAAGAGGGAGACCTACCGTTTGGACCGAAACTGAGAGCTTCAAATGGGAGGGAATTGTCAAGCGGGAATAAGTGGTTAGTTCCTATGGATAAAGGTAGTGATGGACCGGTTCTGGGCCGCCCGGCCCGACACTATTTGGAACCGACCCAACCCGGTGGCCCGCCAGAGACCGGTTCGGGTAGGCCCGGCCCGGGGGTTAAGTTGGGCGGGCTCGGGTCACCCAAATAAGGAACCGGCCAGGCCGGGCTCGGTTCGGGCTTTTTTTTTCAATTTTTTTTTTAATTTTCACGGGTTGAGCTGGGTGTTTTGGGGTGAGGGGGGAGTCGGGGGTTAATTAGAAAAGCAAAAAAAAAAAGGAACCGGCCCGAGGCCCGGCCTGGACCCGGTGGATAACCGGTCCGGTTCCGGGCCTCAATTATCTCCCAAAAAACCCGATCAAGCCCGGTCCATGCCTAGGTAAAGGAAAAGGAAAGGAAGGTGAAGGCAGCAACATGGCATCAGTGGTAGATGGCCACGAAACTCCATAAAAGGAGCAAGAATATCATGCTACAGGAGAGAAGATTGAGCAGAAGCGTAGGAGGGTTGCCCAAGGAGAGGAAGACTCTCTGCAAGCGAGAATGGAGATAAAGAGGGGATTGGCAAAAAAACGGGGAGGAGGCAGGGTACAATGCTTGCCTGACAGGCAACTAAAGTTTAGGCAGGAGGATCCAGCAAGGATGGAAACCACAGAATTTCATCAGTTATAGCTTTTTTCCTATAGCACTTTTTATTTGAAACTAAAATTGCTTGTGGTTTTTGTTTTGCACACTAAGGGGGGTGGGTATTGGTTTTGCTTTTTAGTTGTCGATAGAAAAGTTGTTTGAGGTAATGAGGCTGATTCAATAGCTAATGGCCTCTATGCTCTCACATTTTCAGCAAATAGTCTCGCCCTTCTCAAGTGGACTATTTTATGTGTGATCATTTTGTGAGGGGGCGGATGGCTTTTGGTATGGGTTGGATAGAGGGAGGTTTAGATCTTGTGACTTGGGTGTTATTGCGACTCTTTTGATATTAATATAAGTAGTTTCTTTTCAAAAAAAAAAATACAATTTACCTTGTTAGGATTAAATAACACCCTTACCCTTACCCGAGACCAATCCTACTAACAACACAAGAAAAACAAAATAGTGTAATAAAAAAAGAAAACCATCAGTGTATATAGTTCTAAAAAATATTCCAACCATCCCATTGAGATTGTCTATCTTTCTTTTTTGATCCATCATAGTAAATATGTCTCGTGCCAAATTTGTCATTATTTGTATATTTCTAAATCATTTTACTTTATTTTTACTTTATCAATTCAGCATCAATCATATAAATTCACTTTTTTAAATAATTATGTCGCTTTCTCATCCACCAAATTTGAACAAGGAGATAGTACACTTAAACAGCAAAACTGCAAAAGAACATATCTTGAAGTTTAAAAAACGAGTTTAGTGTAATCACTAATCAGTGTTTGATTAGTACTGTTAGTACACTTAAGCTAAGGCACCGCTTGCAAATGCTTAAAAAAAAGCAATCCCAAACGTTTGACTTAAAAAGACTAAAAAAGAGTGTTTTCAAGTGACAATTTCTACTTAAATTAATATTTAAAAACTAAAAGCTTAGAATCTGTTTTTTAATTTTTCTATTACCCAAAAAACACTTATTTTACCAAACATTACCAACTTTAACTATTCAAAATCTTTTTCACAAAGACTACCAACTTTTACTATTAAGCACTTTTTCCAAAATCACTTTGAAAAGTTCAAAAGCACTTATAATTTATAACTTATAAGTAGTTTTTGCAAACAAACCCTTAGGGCTGGTTTGCAATCACTTAAGAAAAGTGATTTTGACTTTTTTAAGAAAAAACACTTATTTTACTAAGGGAGTGTTTGCAATTGCTTCAACTTTAAAAAAGTGATTTTTTAAAGTGATTTACGGAAAAGTGATTAATAGTAAAAGTTGGTGGTGTTTGAGGAAAAAGTGATTCTGAAAAAATAAAAGTTGGTAGTGTTTGGTAAAATAAGTACTTTTTGTATAATAGAAACAGTGAAAAACAGTTTAAAGCACCCTTCCACCTGTTTCCAGCTTTTAGCTTTTAAGTGATTAATTTAAGCAGAAGCTGTCATTTGAAAACACTCTTTTTAACTTTTTTTAAGCCAGAAGCTGAAAAGTTCTTTTTTTAATCAATAGCAAACACTCTTTAAACACTATCAATTTTTACTTTCTCGGCTTCCGTGTAGAATCTACTTTTTACTTTTTCTATTACACAAAAAACACTTATTTTACTAAACACTACCAACTTTTACTACTAATCACTTTTTCCCAAAAAGTGCTTTTATTTAAGCATAAGTGGTTGCAAACAAAGCCTTAGTGTAGTATGAAACCCATTTTCTTCGTCAGCTTTCACTAAGGACATGAAAATCGTTTCATCAAAGGAGCCTTTGCAATTAAAGCAAAACTTCAAGGTCCTCAACCTTTTGGCAATAAAAATAAGCTGAGTTGCTATCTTAATAGTTCTGAAGAACCAAATCCGGGTGGGTGGAGATTAAGAGCTAGAACATGCAATGAGAGAAAAACTATAATACCAGATTACCAGCACAACCTAATTCCAACAGTAAGTAAATAAAAAATTAAATGGAAAATATCTAGACCATCTTCTAAACCCTGAAGTTCCACATAAGATCCATTGTGTGTTTCTCCACCTGGACTAGGGAGCTTTGGTGGCGTCATCTCCCGCCAGATCATCATCATCATGGTAAATGTTCTCGGCCATCTGCCATATTTGCAGTATGTTGTCTTCAGCTACACTGGCAACTACCCAATCTTCACACGGATTCCACGAGAAGTCTGAAATTTTACTTGTATGCCCTCCATGAATAAAGAGCAGCTCAGGTGGTCCATCTTCAGCGTCCTCTGGCGTTTGCTCTTCATCAATCCTGGTAAAAAGAGAGAGAGAATGGTCCAGGAATAAGGTTCTCACTTCCTATTGATGTGATCAACTTAACTCTTTTATTATCTGATTTTGTATATCGATTTTGTTATCTTACTTGAATTCGGGTTATAAGGTTTAATTGAACTTTTAGTGTAGTTATCAGTTACTAAATGTGTAAACTTTAATCATTAATACAGAGAACTAATTTAAATATTATTAGGAAAGAGTTAAAGAGTTAACTTTATCATGGGTCAAACATCATAAACCGAACTCAGAAACTTAATATGGGAAGAAGGGAATACATTTAGGGAGTGTATGGTTTGGGTAATATAACATTACCTAGGTGGTGTAATGTTACAGTTATGTTTGAGTTTTACAGTAGGGGATGACATTTGTAAAATCTTAAACTACTGTGTTTTTGTCCTTGACCACATTCTGGTAAAATTCCGCAGAACAGTTACTTTATAAAGGTAATAATGTCATTTTCATGTAAGTTACCTCCTTTCTGGCATCAATACTGTTACCCATGGTAATCTCGCATTCCATAAACCAAATGCTCCCTTAACGTTGATTAAGAATTCACTCAGCTAATTGGTTGGTTAAAGTTTAAATATGTAAGTTGTGAGCTTGGATATAAATGACAATTATGGATGCGGGTAAATCCACTGACTTGGTCGGGCAGATCATCTATCACTCCTATGAGTTAGAACTTAGAAGCCTGTGAGGTAGAAGATGCACTACAAAGATGTCTACCTGCTAAGATCCCAGACCATTAGCCTCCTGCCAAGGCAACAAGAAGCTAGGATAGTCTCGTTCTTTGGATTCCACCCGACCTGGAACACCTCCTCCCTGTCATGAACATATTTTATTTTAAATACACACATACACACTCAAATTCATTTCATAAGGGGAAGAAGATAAGTATTGAATAGTATAGAGGTATACAACTAAACGTTCATTGGAAAACATGAGGAAACAAGTAACATAGTCTTACTTGTGGGATTCAAAGGTATGGAGTGCAGAAGTAATCTTGCGCAGGTCAAACAATTTGACTGTCTTGTCAGTAGATCCAGTTGCTACAACCCACTCATTGAATGGATTGAATGCCAAGCAGTTAACCTTTACCAAACAAAAATATGCAATGCCATGAGCACATATACGTGCATAAATAAACATTTTTGTAGGTCTTTAGGTTATGAAGAGACCAAATTGTAAACACAGTAGAATTTGTAATAAAAGGCATAAACAAGAAAGAAAAAAATATTTTAATGTGTTTTTTTGTCCCTGCAATTAATGTTTTGTTTTAGATCCTAGTTATTTTTTGTTATTAATTTGTGCATTTCTCTTGTTAGTTCTCCCGCCAATCTCTGCCAAAATCCAACATGACTCACACAATTCAGGTTTAGCCTTTCACTTAAACTTTCTCTATCTTGTTGATGGCTATTGGAGAATTCAGGTCTAAAAACTTACGTCTCTAGCTCCTTGGAAAAAAATAGGCATTTTTAAAAAATGACATCGTAAAGCTAAAACAGTTCATTATCCATGTTAGCATTTTTCTAAGCACAGGTTGACACTTCACGTAGAGGTACTAAGGGAAAACATGAATGGAAATGTTTGGCCCAATTGGTGGTTTTTCAAATGTCTGTGTGTGAGATTCCAACAGTCCTTGTAGATTTAATACTTTGATCCTACCTCTCCATTATGAGCAACTACAGACTGCATAGGCTTGGTGACTGATGGAGTTCGTAGATCCCATACGTGTAAATATTGATCATCTCCAACCGATCCAAACAAATATTCATGCCTCAGATGCCATGCTACATCCTCAACCACTCCCTCATGAATCTAACATTTCATCACAAAAAAATGTTACTATCCATGAGCATGCCAGAATTCAATACAAAAATCACCTTAGGGTCCATTGTTCCTATGTCACTGTAGACATGAGAACTAGTCTGTCACGTACCTTAAATATCTGCATGGCATCAAGGGCCTTACTCTTTGGGGTGGCATTAATATCCCAAAGGCAAATCTGAGCATCATCTGACCCACTTAACAAATGACCCTGCTTAAAATGACTCCACGACAAACCATAACCTTCAGTGTTGTGACCTCTTAATCTCAAATCAGGGTTGCATGCACCATCAAGTGGAGGCTTCGATGGATGTTTGCTATAGTCGAAAACATAGACTTCGGCATTAACTGTCTTTGTGGCAATGATAAATGGATTTTGAGGCATATAACGGGCTCGGTTCACCTCTCCTTCATGATTTATTTGCTGGATTATTTGTACCTGCAAGATTAATATATGCCCAAAAATGATTGAGAAAGCACACTGATACCCCAACCACATGGATGATCTTGAAGAGGAAAGAGAAAGCACAAGACACCCATCAAGACCATCCAACTGATAAACTTCTCAGGAGTCATAAATACATTGTGTAGAAAAGAGATGGAAATAAACAAAAAGAAAGAAAGTATGCTATGCTTCAAGGGAAGACAGCATCCACTAAATCAAATTTGAGAAACTAGACTGGTTATGTAACCAACCAGGTTAAGGTTCAAGGTTAAGCAGTTCAACCTTGGTTGGACCCTTAGTAACTAGATACATGTTTCTAATATCTTATACTCTGTAATACAAAGTATTATGTAACAAACTAATCTAAAATATTAACAAAATAGGACTAATTAACATTTAAACTAACATACACCTAACCCTACTAAGGTTAAACCAAACAAATCCAATATGGCTAACATGGAAGTAGGGTATTGGGACTTGGGAGCGCAAGACAGAAGCTCAATGGAATTGAATGGGGTCTGTAAACCTTAACTCTACCCTTTCAAGTAAAGAGGCTGCATCCATAAAGACTCTCAGCTAAGGAAAAATTAAAAAAATATATGGACAATTTTGAGGAGTTCAGTAAACACTTCGTAAATGAATCTTTCACGATGCGAGCGGGGGTTTAAACATAGGAGAAACATGTTAAGGTTGTAATTCGTCAATTAGCTAAGGAATGATTCAACTCATTCAAGTATACTCATGTATATCATTATCACTTGTTCTGTAGCAAACAAATAATCTAATCCAGAAGAGAAACAAATATGTATTTCAAAGTTCTTTTGTCCAAAATACATGCATGAAAAGTGTCTTATCTTATTTGACCAAACAAATCTAATCCAAAAGAGAAACAAATAAGTTAAAGATGACAAGCACAGTTGAGCCAACAGGAAAATAATATATCTATATATATCCACAGTGACACAGATTCGCTCCAAGAGTCCCCCATCTTTTAAGACTACGCTTTCATTTTTGGGTTGTTCCAAACATATGAACACTACTCGAGCACCACTAACATTTTACTTTCTTGCTCTAACCCTTTATCTATCAAACTAACATTTTACCTTTTTATTTTTTGTGGACCCATACTATTTTTTGGTACTTTTTGAAGGTTACAATTGTAAAAGAACAACTACATCCTTTATTTTCTTAAAGCCCGTGCCAAACTCAAATGTATCTTACATTTTGGGATGAAGATAGTATGTGTGTGTGTATACATATATGATTCCATGACATATATGGTACCTAGCCAAGTTTAAAAAGGTTGTGCCTTGACTAAACAAGAATCTATAGATGGATCTTTATTGAACGAATATGTATGTATGAATAAGCGAGTGTTTTATTTTAAAAGAAAAAAAAAGATAAACAAATAATCAATTCAGACGTCGGGTTTCAGCGGGTTACCAACGGATTATTTTTTTGTTAGTGTGGACATATGATTAACCAGTTGCATTTTCAACTAGTCGCCTGGCCCAGTTTTTATATGTATAATGGAATTATAAATGCCGATGTCTCCCTTGTAAGATTTATCATCAGATAATAACAGTAGAAAATGAGAGCAAACTCCTTACAATCAGTGAAAGAGTGAAGATATCTTATAAACTAGGTGATAAAATTCCAATTTCCTCTCAAAAGGATCATTGTCCTATCACAAGGCATGCTTGTTGTATACAATAAGCAACTAGCATTTTATACCTGGCAAATGGAGACATTTATATTGATTTAATTCAATGACACAAATCACACAATCAAACTGACAACCATTAATTAAAGGACTTGCAATTTTGCATAGCTTTTTAGATTATTAGACACAGGCTTCAAGGAGCTCAGGATGGAACTACAGATCCAGCAAAAATCGAGAATTGTCTTTCATTTTACCTAATGTGGCCTTTAGATGCAATCATTTACATAGCAACAAATTATTAAATACCCCAAAGAGAAAATAAAACTGAGGACCCAAATCAAACAAATGTTCTTCATATATGGTAAAATATGAATTAGAATAAAAATGCAAGGGGAATAAAATAGATATACTCCAAATACATTTAGACCTAAGAGTGACTCCGTACAAATTTTGACCCAACTTGCAATACAGAATCAAGTTGTTTTTTATCAAAATGAGAAAAGCTAAATAATAATGATAATAGAAATAATCGAATTCCACTTATTGAAAAGTTGACATTCATACTTTTTTGGGTAAAGATTGACATTCAGACCTTAGTCCACTCTATCAGCAGCATAGTTCCAGATGTCTAGAGCAGCTATGTTGTTAGGAAGATTTAGTGATATAATTGTATACGGAAGCGCAACCTTATGAACAGTTTGCACTGCTACCCAAAACTTAAATGCACAGAGACGCATACATTACCAAACCCCCATTAAAATCAAATGTCACTAAGACAAGCGAAATCTCAAATTACAAATTGAGAACCAGTAAACCCAACCCTCACACAAACTGATAGCACAACCCAGTTCGTCAAAGAAGCAAGGGTTAATCGTAAGAGGAAGAGTTATTTAAAAAAAATTACCTTTCCATTGGCACAACCGAAACCTCCGAAATCCGACCGATCGTCATCATACTGGCGGGCATCATTTTCAGCATCCTCGAGCGGGAGCTGGACCTTGGCGATCATAAGGTAGTTTGGCTCATTTTCCGAAGTGTGTGTCCCAAGAATAACCTTTTGGACAGAATAATCCTTCCCCGGCAGCTCTTCCCGGCCGGGAAGCCATTCGACGGTAAGCGACGGCCACTCAAGCGCGTGAGTGATAACAAGATCATAGAGGAAGGGAGTATTTTTCTTCCAAATCTTGTACTCCTCGTTAATTTGCCTCTCCTCCACCTCACCTCTCATCTCTTCATCGTCTTTGCCCATGAACTCGCCTCCTCAGCTCAGACTGACAGCGGCGACAGTGCAAGCAGAGAAGACGGAAGCGCTGGAAGGTTTATGGCTTCGATTATTGGGAGTCTCCAGAATTTGGTGGTTGAGTGAGCATATGGATTTCGCTCTTACGGAAATTGGAGGGAAGATTTTGGTGGGTTTTAACTTTTTACAGCAAAAGTTTCAGAGGTTACTGCTATAATACTCCGTACTCCGTAATAACGGAAGGAGGGTTTATAAGGGCCGTATTCATTCATTGAGAGGTAAGTGGGCTGACCCTTCTTCATATTGGACTCCGACTTGTAACATGGACCAAATCCATAATTCCTTCATATAGTCCATGACTTGTTTAGCAAAGGGCACTTATCTATATATAGAGTCTGGGAATGTTTTCTTTTAAGCTGAAATTTGCTGGTCCGACCTGGTCTGATCTGGTCTGAACTGGTCCAGTCTGGTATGGTCTGGTAACATCTGGTCTCTGTGTATTTTATAACTACGGGAGTCTGATCTGATCTGGTCTGAGACTAAAAACAATCCAAAAGAAAACATCCTGATTCGAATAGAAGTGGTCTTTCCGTATAAAATACAAATATTTCCACTTTTGATCATTTGAGGTACATTATTACATTCATATTACTTTTATCATCCACTTTTGGTCATATAAGGTACAATATTACATCGTCAGAGTGCATTTCTTTGCAAATAAAAAAACTTCGATTTATTTACGAAAATGTCATTGCATTCTCATCCATTTTAATTCATTTTTGACATATTTAAAGTCATTAGATTATAAATTTAATGCTCCAGAGTTATTCAAACTTTTCATGGAACATACTATTTATAGTTGATCCTATATAAATGGCTCTGTTCTAAAAATCGTTCTAGGCGCCCGACTAGTCCCCGCCTAGGCGCTAGGCGGTGGTCGGGCGCCCCGATTTTCATCTAGGCGCTCCGACTAATTGGTTTGCCGCCTAGGTGAATTAGTCGGCCGCCTATGGCGCCTAGTTACCCGCCTAGAACGCCTAATTGCCCGCCTAAGCCGTCTTCGCCGAACATTACTTTACTTTTTAATTTTACTTTTCCAAGCAATATACATACTTTAACTTATTACGTATGATTAAATGTGATAATTCTATCTTTCATATTTGGTAATGTATAAGTATATATATACTTTATATACACAAAAATAAAATATTATGTATCATATTTATGCAAAAATATAGATAAAAATGTAATTTCTATGTCTCCGATTAGTCTCCGACTAGGCGCCCGCCTAGCCGCCTAGGCGCTAGGCGCTGGGTTGGCGCCCGACTAGCGCCTAGCGCCTTTTAGAACATTGATAAATGGTATTATTCAAATATAAAGGGTGTTTGATGTGAAATAGAATTGTTCACTTTTACTTCGTTATGCTGCACTTTTCAAATTTCAATTGCAACACTGATTGTTTTGCAATAACATGAATTTTCACTTATTTGCCGAAAATGTTACTGCTTTTTTAACCAAATTTGATGCGTTGTTGGAACTTTGAGAGCCATCACATGTCAAATCGATCTAATGCATGAAAACTAATAACATTTTTCACATTAAGCGCTTTAAGCAGACAACTAGGCGCCATAAACGATCGACCAACTCAGCTAGGCACTAAATCAATTAATCGTGATGCATATCCACTGCCTAGCCTAGGTGGGTACTAGTCGGGCTCCTAGAGCAATTTTTAGAATAGTGATATTGATATAACATCGCGGAAGAGCCTCCACTAGTACAAAAAATGCCTATTGTAGCATCCATTTTGTAGCACCATAGAAATTGATACAGTATAATATTTATCGTAACACTATTGTCCCAAAAATGCTACAATAAAATGATAAATTACTACAATACATATATTGTAACACTAGTCAGAAGCGGCATACATTTGATATATTGTGACATTTTTGGCACCTATTACAGAAAATCGAGCAGATGTCGCATGTTGCATGATTAACTAGATTAGAGAAGGGAAGCTAAGTCCAAGCATAATAACTTAAAGGAAGGGCCACTCGACGCGGTCATAAGCTTTCATCATATCGAGCTTCACCACACGTGTCTTTCTTAGCTTTCTTTCTTCTTTTCATTATATGAACATATTCGAATGCCACTAAGGCATTGTGTGTAAGTAGCCGGCCTGGCACGAAAGCACTATGCTCTTGGCCAATACTCCTTCCGTCCCATTTAAAGGTTCTCGTCCACTATTTTCCGGTTAACGTGCATTGTTCTTAATCTCTTACTTTATATATCTAACTTTATCAAATTTAACTTTTCTTGATAAGGTATTATAAAACTTTTAATGTAGTTTCTGAATACGTAAATTTTATTTACTAAAATTAGTCATATTAATGACAGGGGTGGGGTAACTTTATGATAAGTCAAACATCGTAAACCGTGTGAGAACCTTAAAGTGGAACAGAGGGAGTAGTATCTTCGAGGACTGGTCTCAAAAGGTTTGCAACAGTGTATGTAACAATCTTGTAAAGCATTATGCATAAAGAGACTAACTTGAATTGTGTGATGGGCTGGGGCTGTCGTACTTTTGGAATAAGTGTTATAGCAGTGTCATTTATTTCATTGCCCTACCTTTCACCGAGGACCACATCAGTTAACTCCCCACCGATGAGGTCCCAATGATGCTCATAAAATCCTAGAGTGAAGCCATCAACTCTCGGCACGGTAAAGGGTGCATTTGAAACAATGCATTTTCATTTCTTCTTATGTAAAATCCTTGGCTAGAGTATCACTGATTTTTTCTAAGAAGCATCTCTAATGCCATAATGTGCATGATGCACATGTGACATGAGAGAGACAAACACATAATATTAATGAGTAATACGTAGTACATTGTTTTTCCTTATTTGAAAGGTCTTATATACTTTCAATATGTTTTTCCACAATTTCAGAAGAATGTCTATATGTAGACATTCTGATTACATTGTTATGAAAAAAGTTATTAAAATTGTATATAAAATCATGCAAATAAAACATGAACAATTTATTTTAGGGAAAAAGTTATTAGCCCCCGTACTATACTGAAAAGGTCGTTTAGGCCCCCGTACTTCAAAAACACCCAATTGAACCCTCTTACTACTAAAAAACGCTCAATTGAGCAATTCTAGAAGGTCACCAACCGGTTTCCGGGTTAGGTACATGCGTGGCACTCCCTGTGGCGGCCCGCGTGGCATTTCTTTTCATTTTTCTTTTTTCCTTTCTATTTTCTTTTTCTTTCTCTTTCTTTTTCTCTTTTCTTTTCTTTCCTTCTTCCACTTCGCCTACAGAGCCGTCATTGTCGGTGAAGCCATTGAAGGAATTGAGGGGTTGCCGACATCACCGGGGTTGCTCTTGTTTCAGAGTTCTGTTAAACTTCGTGATATCGCAGAGCACGAAAGTGTACCCTCTGGCAGCAAACCAACACAGACGCAGCGGATGGAAGAGTCTTATGGAATTTCCTGAATTCCTCAGCGATTGCGGGTGCTGCCCCTGGAGATGGCAGCGTAATACCCAGCTATGGCGGTGTAATACCCAGCTATGGCGGCAGCAATCCTTGTGAAGGCGGTTGCACTCCCCAAAGATGACTGGAATTTCCTGAATTCTTCCACTCTTGTGAAACGGATCTACACAAACGGGAACTGGATTTGGCGAACTGGAAGAGATAAAGAAATAAAAGAGAAGATAAGTTGCAACTTGAGAATGAAGAAAAGGAAAAAGAATAAGAATAAGAAAAAGAAAAATTGCCACATGTTCTGCCACGTGGAGTGCCACGCGTGTACCTAACCGGGAAACCGGTTGGTGACCTTCTAAAAGTGCTCAATTGAGCATGCAAATTGTACCGCGAGATCGGCCCACCTTGCGCATGGTGTGCCGATCCCAAACGGTGCCATTTTAATTAATAAAAAATCAGCCATCCTCTTCTCACTTGAGAGACGATGTACAGAGACCCGTTCAATCAAAACTATTTTCATAACTCTTTCTTGCCGATGGCGGCAGCTCCATCACCATGGGTGGCTGTGGGAAGCGCTCTGCTGACTGCTAGTTGCGAAAGCGAGCTAGACGCCGGGATGGACGAGCTATTGGCGGTTTTGGGGTACAAGGTCAGGTCATCTAACATGGTGGAGGTTGCGCAGAAGCTCAAGCAGTTTGAAGAGGTGTTGCGCAGAAGGAATAGTTGTCGAATTTCGCATCGGAAACCTTCCACCCTTCGGATCTCCCGTCGTGGGTCAATTTCATGATTTCTGAGCTCTAGCACATATAGGCTTCGTAATCCCTCTCAATTCTTCAAATCCTCCCCCAATAAATGTTTGGAAAAGTTGCTGCAGAAAACTGGGATTGGGATGGGTTTTTGCAGGGGATTGGATTTCTCTGAACTTAGGCTCCTACATATGGGATTGAATTTTGGGATAGCCATCCATGGAAAAGTTAGTGCAGGGGATTGGGATTGGGTTTCTGCAGTAGAAAGGCAAAGTTCTTTGTAGTTACATTTTGCATTTGCATTTATCTTAGAAAAGTTACATTTGTATTAAAACGATGTACATTTCCATTCATCTCAAGTTACACATCTATTAATGATAGTTACATATCAACTTTCCTCACCATGTTACATCATGCTTACATGTGATTTACATTTTTCATAATGTGAGTTACATCACAATATAATGC